TCCTGTGAAGCTCTGGAAGAGCTTAACCTGCCGAGCCTCCCCTCCGAGCCAAACCTGAAGACTCTCTTCTGGATTTCCAAGCAGCTCTGGATTTAGAGCTGGGAACTCAAACCAAGGTCAACACCCTCACTAGAAGTAAGACGCTGAAACAGTTATCGGACCCTGCTGAACCAAACCATCTCCGGACCCAACAGTTCCTCTTCCAAAGTCCCTTCTACGCATCCCAAGGTACAAACCAGAATCTCTCAAGATCAATTCCAACCAAGCCAACGCTAACTGAACTGTCTCCCTCACAGACTCCAGTGAACCAGTCCCCAGGCCTGAACCAGCAAACTGTACATTTACTACGTGCTTGTGTAACAATAAACTTGTTAACTTTTCCCCTGAGTCCATTGTGTTCTGCATCTTGGGCCTCTCAGTAAACCCATCATGACAGACTTTAGTAATTGGGTGCAACATCAACATTTGATCTCACTAAGTTCATATCTAATTACCTCTGTTGGAAAGTCTCTGCAGTGCATGCCCACACAGATGATTAAAATCTAACATGCCAAAATCACAGACAATGAAAGATTAAATATCTGTAAAAAATTTGGATTTATTACTAAACTGTAAAAAGGGAATTTTTGGTTCAGTAAAATCTATTAAAGTATTCGTCGTAAATTCTGCTCTGTATTTTTAAGCCTCAGTAAAAACTAGAGCTTCTGAAGTAGAATTAAACCTCTTTTTTAATGTAATACATGACTTCTGTTAAAAGAGTAAGTTTTACTTAGATTTCCTTATACTATTTAAATGTTTCATAGCAGTATGTACATAAACCTAAGAATACTACGTAAACTTTAAAAATGTAGGATTTTGCAACGCATGCGCACTGTAACTCACAGCAGGAATGATTCTGCTCTGATTCCAGACTTTACAGGATCACACACAGAGCAAGATTTAGTCCCAATAGACATTGTGGCAGGGTGCAACAGTACTGCAAAAGCCTGCTCACTGCTCATGGGACTGACACATGCCCTGAATTTAGCATACCCTCCGACTTTGCTTTTGAAGTCTTCCAAAAACTTTTCCTGGAGTTGGATGGATTTAAAACTGCCCCCTTAAACATTCTGAAGTTGAAGTAGCTTTCCTAAATGCATTAATGACTTTGACAACTTAAGGTAGGAAATTGTGGCTTCAAATGCCAAGAATCAGCAGTGGGTTCCAGTTAATCTTAGTGGAAGTTTGCCTGTCATGTTTTTTATTTTTTGCCAAACAAGGTTTTTGTTATTAGGCAAAAAATAACAGATACCTTTATTCAAATATCTAATAGAGATTTTATTCTTCATTGAGAATGGTTAGACAGTTTAAGCTGATAATTTTTAATTGTGTTAATGTTTTATTAATGTTGTTATTGCATTCTTAGAAGTCCACTAGTCTGGACGACTGGTTTAAATGTTGAAATTGCACTACTTCAGTGTTTAGGTTTGTAAGATTTGTATAGCATATTTGAGTAGTGACTATATGACCAGATCTGTGTTGGATGTGGGTATATAAAATACTTTGTATTTGTTGTTTTCAAGTCATACCAACCTTATCTTTTTTTTCGGTACAAATTCAAATGCAGTACAACATAATGCACTTTTACTATTAATGCTATATTTGTACATTCTTTGTTTTATTTAAATAGAGGCATACATAATCTTTACACCACTGCTCAGAAGTTGTTTTGAGCATGTTTACGTTAACTCAAATATTCTTGTTCTTACATATGATTATATTTCTGTATCAAATGTTAAAACTTTAACTTTCAGATGCTTGTAATTTTTTTTTATCACATGTGTGTACAATTCCAGTTAGAGGGCTGCTCAGTGGCACAGTGGGTAGCACTGCTGTCTTGCAGCAAGAAGGTTCTGGGTTCAATTCTGGCCTGCGGTATTTCTGCATTGAGTTTGCATGTTCTTCCTGTGCATGCATTGTTGTTTGTCTCTGTGTTGCCTTAAAAGTTAGAGAAAAATATTGTGTGTACTTAATTTGTTTAAATAACTTACAACTTGGATGTAATTAAGTAAAAGCTACTTAATATTTTCACAACTGTTATGTCTTATGGAAAGTAAAATTCACTTGATACTGGCAAGTGAGTGTTACTTGATATTGCAGCATTAAATTTTACTTAAATCATTTGCGTGCAAATACTTACAATATATTTTTTAAAGTAAATCTTATAAGTTGTTTTTTTGGCAGCTTGATATAAAAGTACATCATTTAACAAAACACTTCTATAGCTGGTAAAATAAGATCAAATACTGCCATTTGTAATATNATTTAAATAGAGGCATACATAATCTTTACACCACTGCTCAGAAGTTGTTTTGAGCATGTTTACGTGAACTCAAATATTCTTGTTCTTACATATGAATATATTTCTGTAACAAATGTTGAAACTTTAACTTTCAGAGGCTTGTATTTTTTTTTTTATCACATGTGTGTACAATTCCAGTTAGAGGGCTGCTCACTGGCACAGTGGGTAGCACTGCTGTCTTGCAGCAAGAAGGTTCTGGGTTCAATTCTGCATGGAGTTTGCATCTTCTTCCTGTGCATGCATTGTTGTTTGTCTCTGTGTTGCCTTAAAAGTTAGAGAAAAATACTGTGTGTACTTAATTTGTTTAAATAAATCTCACTTACAACTTGGATGTAATTAAGTAAAAATCTTCTTAATATTTTCACAACTGTTATGTCTTATGGAATGTAAAATTCACTTGATACTGGCAAGTGACTGTTACTTGATATTGCAGCATTAAATTTTACTTAAATCATTTGCGTGCAAACACAATATATTTTTTAAAGTAAATCTTATGAGTTGTTTTTTTGGCAGCTTGATATAAAAGTACATCATTTAACAAAACACTTCTATAGCTGATAGAATAAGATCAAATACTGCCATTTGTAATATCTACAGGCTAAATATGGTTTATCAGTGATACAGCTTAAGTCTTATTTCTGGGAACTTAAGTATTTTTAACCTAGTAATTTAGAGAACAATAATGACCTTATTAAATTGACCTTATTACAGTTCTAATAATATAGTTAAAACTTGAACTTCCCTTACCATCTTCTCTTGAAATCATGTAATTAATTTCT